GTTTCTGCCTAGAAGCATCTCAACAGATCAGTATTTTCAACAGGAAATGCCTGCCCTTGCTCGTAATCCAATCACCTGACACCGCACCCGACTCCTCAAACAAAATAAACCCTAATCCTTAGTGATAGCAGCACATGTCCTTGGTTTCATCACATCTGCACTGGGCTCGAAGGTATTTGTGAAGCAGCCCCAAGATGCTCTACGTTAGGCGTTCGAAGAGTTTACTTAATGACAGAGCAAGCTGAGTTCGACAAAAGCCACAAATTGCTGAATTCTGTTCTGAGGAGAATAATAATATAGTACTCGTGTTTGATACGTCACGTACGTTACATCAAAACGTCTCAAAGTAATTCTGTGAAGTGTAGTGACTGTGTATCTTGCAGGTGAATGCAACCGTCAATTTGTGTACAGCAATCTCCCACAAACAGCCAAGAAGTGAATGACTAATTTGCTTTTCAATCTGGGGGGATTGTTGGCCAGGACACCAGGAGAAACTCCCTTTTCTTTTTAAAGTGTGTGCCGTGGGATGTTAAACTTTCACCTGGACAGGCAGACACAATCAAGAAATATTCCAAATTGACCCCCATCCCAAGCTAAATTACTTATTGTGCATTTTGATTTGCTGGTTAATGATGATAATAATCCTTGCTTTTTATATAGCGCCTTATCACATCGTTGAGACGTCTCAAAGTGCTTCACAGAATATATTGTAAAGTGGACTGACTGTGTATTTTGTGGGTGAAATGTTAACGAGCAATTGTTGAATTAGGAGCGTACAAACAGCCTCAGAGAAAGAAAACCAATAGTGCTACTTTCTGACAGCGCAAAGGAGAAATGAAACATGCAAATCCCTTGGTTTTGCATTCTCTCACCAAAACAGTTTCCAAATCAGAATAGCTTCTAATTTGCACAGAATCCCACTGCTTCTCCTCCACCCCCTCCCCACCAACGATCCTTACTTTAACGAGAAAATACTTGGCAGGTCCCACTGCCGAACCAGATATCCATTTCATGCAATTGAAAAAAATAATAGATTGTGATTAAGTTCTTTAAATCACACACAAACACACACAAAAAATGATTTGAAATTTGTGACAGAATGGTACGCCTCGGAAACCCAAGGAGAGCTGCACCCAGGTTTTATTAAACTATTATCTAGAGTTACTAATAAGCAGCTTGTAGTTCAAATTACCAGATCACAAACAGAGTCAGGATACTGGCGATTCAGGTTAGTTCCGATAATAATCATCCTGCTTTGGTTTCTCTGGATACATTTCAAGTAGGTTCCAGACTCACAAAGACTCCCATTCAGCAACAAACCCTGACTCTAAATTATTCTAATCATTGCTCATAAAAACGGGATCTCCTATTACACAATTTGGGAGCAGAACTCTTTAATACCGGTAATGTGTTTGATAATATCAATTACTGTGGAGAGCTTCTAATAACGTGCAGTTATCTTCAGATCTCTCTGTTTATCTACAATGTATATACAACATCGAGGATTTATAACGACATGCACCTACAGGGCATCGGCAAACACACATGAAGTGGAGGGAGGGAGGGAGGTAGATAGATAGATGGAGAGATAGATAGATGGAGAGATAGATAAGATCAGATTAGATTCCCTGGGTAAAACAAACAAAACAAAATACTGGGGACAGCAACCCAAACATCAGTAATAAAAATGTGGTCCCTTCACTCCGCGGCTGTTTGTGGGACACTGCTGCATGCAATTAATCGGTGCTGAGGTTTGCCCACAAAATAAACAGTCAATTCCCTTTACAATATATTCCGTGAAGTGCTTTGAGACATCTCAAAGCAAAGCCCCCCCGGACACGTATAGAGCTCCACTCATCACCTTGCTTGCATTAACATTGGTGAGCCAAGGGTTCCACGTGGACAACTTGGATGGCATCTCAGGACCTTTCCTGGGAGTTTTTACAGCTTTTATTTCTGCGCATCACCTGCCGACGTCCTTCAGACAACGCAAAGCCCCGAGAGGAGTCCTGAGTGACTGCCTCATCGAGACCACCCTTGGGACGTCCCGCAGATGTGAAAGACGCTATACAAGTGGTAATCTGTTGTTGTTGGTGTTGTCTCCCACCAGCCTCGCTCAATCAATCAGATACAACACTGCTGAGGCCACTGATTCATGTCATGCAACACAAACTCACTCAAAGAGCGTCAAATAGCTGAGGAAAAAATAAAAAAGAGCTGTACCTTAGTGAGAAGTGGGATAAAGATCTATGCAATTTCCCCATTTGATGGGAACTGCCACATCACTTTTAAAGCCCTGCCTTCAACTCACCTCTTTGACCTCACTTTTGGTCATCTTTCTCTCCCCACTCGATATGAAACCTGCTATCTAAATAGAAATAATAATAATAATCATCCTTGTATTTGATATATCGTCTCATCACGTCTTCAAGACGTCTCAAAGTGCTTCACAGAATATACGTTAAAGTGAATTGAATGTATATTTTGTGGGCGAAACGCGACAGCCAATTGTGCACAGCAGCATCTCACAAAGTATAGTATCCGTGGTGATAAAATAGGTACAGGAAGGAATTCCCATGGCCACATCTGCTCAGAACAGACTGGAAATCAATCCGTAAAGCCTTCCTGGTCTGCACCAGCTCAGTCCCTCACTCAGTATTAACCTCTTTGCCAGAGGGAATACAAATGAAGGATTCAATCCTGTGTTACTAGATGCGCTACAGAAACCTGGAGCAATTGTATCTGGGTTTGAAAAAAAACACGTGACTCCTCCCCCCACACACATACATACACACACACACACACACACAACTCACCAACACAATCTCATCTTTCACTCAACAGTCAACAATTGATTTGGCGAAGCTAAGCTCCGAAATTCCACTGGTCTTAGCCTCTGGGACCTTTCTGCCTTAAATTACGAGATCCGTAAAATCTCTTCAATTACGGTCTTAATTCGGAAGCTTAATTAACGAAACAAGGGACCGGCTTCCAAATTTGGGGCGATGTTTTAAGAACTTTTCCACAATCTGGCACTGTCGTGAAAAAAATTAGGTGGGGTTTCTCTTGCGCGATTGAATAGGTTTCAACCCCAGGACACGGCAAACACACAGAAACAAACTTCCTAAAATGTGTGTGCTTTGTAACTTGAAGTAACTGGAAGTTCAGCATCCCCTTGAATGTTCCTGCACAATATAAGTTTCTGTCCTGGGGCAGACGCCAGGCATATAATCAGCCTGGCTTGTTTGATAGTTTACACAAAGGAATCCGAGCCACGTGATAATGAACGGGATCAGGTATGTCTGTACGCGGAGGGATTGCTAAGAAAGACCCGTCGACTCATAGGCTTTGTTGAGGCTGGCCTTGCATTGGGGCTGTGCAGGCTGGCTCCCGTACCTGCTGGCTTTGAGCCTGATCACAGCCATCTCAACATGCCTTGTGCCAAAGGTGATGTCAGCTCCTCCTATCTCCTGAAGCCATCCATCACCAGCAGTAATGTCTGTTAACCTGTCAATGCCCTGCTTCGCTGTAAATAGCGTTTTCAGACGCAGAAAATGCTCCAAAACTATTTCCAGTGGGATAATTACGCTGTGTAAACTATAAATTCAGGGGATTAATGACGGCAAAACAGCCGTTTGTTTGGTAACAGCGAAACGCCCACGAGTTAACCCTTTCTGAGTGCTGTTGTGGCCGCTCCTGTTTCTGCGCCCCAGGAACTGACACCGTGCAAAATACCAGGGCTCAAGATCAAATGGTTTCCGATTCACAACAGCTTTTTTTTAAAAAAATGGTCTTTTATTCTTCCCTGGAATAACCACGTGATCTTTTTCCATGATTTTTCCAGTTACTTTGGGAACAAATCTCAACAGTCGCAAGTTGGAAGTGGAAATTAACACAGCTCTATTTACAACCACTCTCTCTCTTCATTCATCTCTTATCCTTCGGATGAGACGTTAAACTGAGGTCCTGTCTGCCTTCAGGTGCATGTTAAAGATCTCATGGCACTATTTGAGAAGAAAAGAGGGTTTCTCCCAGTGTCCTAGCGAACAATCCTCCAAATTAAATTGATCATTCACTTCATGGCTTTTGTGGGATGTTGCTATGTGCAAACTGGCTGCTACGTTTGCCTACAAACACACAGTCACTGCACTTTAAGTAAACCCTGTGATGTGCTTTGAAACTTTTCGACACCATGTTAAAGGGTGTTGTTTCAAAAGCATGGATTATTACTTTGCCAAATGCTGTATTGCAATGCCAAGTCTCAGCTTGTAAGAACATTTTGTCTTAAAATTTAAGATTGTGCAGGATTGGGGGAAATTCTTCAATTCACTCTGAATTTGGAAGCCGGTTTCTTTTTAAGGACAGCAACAACATTTCTGCCTTAAATTTTCAAGGCAAAATGGTTCTTAGAGGCGAAGACCACAATCCTTGGATTTGATACAGCGCCTTATCAGATCGTTGAGACATCTCAAAGCGCTTCACAGGAAATACTGTAAAGTGCAGTGATTGCGTATTTTGTGAGCGGCAGCCAGTTGCTCACAGCAGTATCCCACTCACAGCCAGTGAGTGACTAATTTTATTTTGGGGAATGTTGGCCAGGACATCGGGAGAGAGAAACTCCCTCTTCTTTTCAGATAATGCCAGGGTATCTTTAACATCCACTTGAACAGGGAAACGGGACTTTGGTTTAATGTCTAATCCGGAGGATGGCACCTCCGACAGTGTAACACAATCCCAACATTGCATTGGTGTGTCAGTTTAGACTATATGATTCCAAATCCTGCCGCAGAGGCTCGAAGCCACAACCTTCTGACTCCGAGGCGAGTGTGCTACCACTGAGCCTTTCAATTTATATATATATAATGCCTTTCACGTCGGGAGGTCGTTTCAAAGCGTTTCAGTGGAAGCGGTTGACAGACAGGTCTTACGGGGGACATGGAATTGAGTCCCTCTGGTGCCCCTACCTTCACAGCCCCTGGAGAGCTCACGGACAGTCTCACCTTGTGAGGCGGGTAATCTTGATGACGACTTGGTGCTCAGACACACTGAAGGCGGAGTAGGCATCGGGGTGATCCGAAGTGTCTGTGAGGAGATAGAAAAAAGGGAGAGCAAATCAGCCAGGAGAAAGTAAATAAACAGTTGGCAGATTTATTATTCTGCAAAACCACCCGGTACAGATTTAGTTTTTCCCCAGAGTGAGGACGCTTCTCAACCATCTGAGCTGAAACGTTCCTTCCAGCAGCCAGCCCCATCGCTGATGAAAAGCAGCACACATGTCCGGCAGATTCTCGGCTCATCCATTACACAAGTGGAGAAAAACAAGGATTTTAACTGCCTGACCACCAGCTCATTCTCCTCCTTGCGCAGTTAACTTGGAGGAAATGCAAAAATGCTGATATCACGTGGCGCTCAGACAAACATTACTGAAGGTCTTCCTCTTCAACCCTGTCTACGGTCACCTCCCCTCTCTCCCTGTCTCAGCATCGAGCTCCGCCACTATTAAGCATCCCAAGACGCTACCCCATGTGAAGGATATACATAATATAATTGATGCAAGTTGTTGTGTACTGGGCCAGAGCGATTCCAAACTTTTTGGAGACTTTGGGATCCAAATTGAGGTCTATTCATCAATGGACTATTTTGTTTATAAGTGCGAAAAACGGCCTTCTCCATGGCCCCCAACCGGCCCCCACCACACCATCAGGGGACAAGCTTTAAATCATCCCGCCACCACTCTCCCCCCTCCTTCTTCTTCCTCTCCATGTTCAAAACTCAACTTTAAACCTATCTTTCTGCCCACACTTTCAATTAGAGGGAATTATATTCCCTCTCCCCCTGCACCATCCCCCCACCCGACTTAAGCTCCCTTGAGACAACTGTGTGAAGCCCTCTAAGACATCCTCCTGACATGAAAGGCACCCCAAGTCTTGGCTCTTGCTAACCTGCCCCTAATACTCTCTGGAATTAGGTAAGCAGGGTGCGTCTCTCTAGGGAGGAAGAGAGAGTGCGCATTCCATTCTAGGCTCAGAGAAAATTTCCGTGCGTAGGTGGCATGTATATGTAAAACCCTCAAGTCTGCTTTGGATACCCTTAAGCACGGTGATGGGTTTCCGCATGTGTCAGACACCCGGCTGACACCCCCCACCACCAAAAAGGCAAGGTCATTGAATGACCCTGGATGAATGAATTAATAATCAGCAGAGAACAGTCACACTGTGTGCTCAGTAACCGCCTAACCAGCGAGGGCTGATAATGTCATTTGCAATGCTGAGCTGAGACAAAAATATGAAGTGGAGAGAAAATCAAAGGCAAATTTGAAAAACATATGCTTAATAAACACATACACATAAGGATTTATTTTTTATATATCAATATCAAAACTAATATCGATCATGGTTGTTTTCTGCATAAAGAAAAAGGAGCGAATCATTGAGCGAAGTTTCAGAAAAAAGCTGTTACTCTGGTTTTATGTGGAGTCATCTTTCCCCTTCGCGACCTCCCCCGCCCACCCACCCACCCACCCAACTTGGGTGCCTAGCCAGCAGTGTGAAGCGCTTTGAGACGTCCTCCTGACACGAAACTGCGTTGCATTTTCTCTAGTTGCAAACTAATACACCGAGCAATGATTCTTCCCACAAAGTTTCAGACAGCAACACGTGCACTGCACACACACACACGCACGAGCACATGCACGGACCCAGTACTAAAAGGGTTTATATGATCGGGGTTTGTTTTTGGGTGGGGTGGGGGGTGGTGGCCACCGGTGGAATTCTCTGAACTGAAAAAAGGGAAACAATTCCGTAAGGTAACGGTTTATTTTAATTGAAAACATAGCCGCTTAGAAAATACGCTCCTAAAGCAGCTCTCGCTTTTGTGTTGTGGTCTCGTGGGGGGGGGGGGGGGGGGCGTTTGGGGAGGGCGGGGGCGGTTGAGGAGGGCGGGGGAGGGATGGGGGTTGGGGGGAGAGAAAGGGAGAGCGGGACTGAACTGCGGAGCCTAACAATGCGATAAATCAGAAAATGCTTTTGTGTTTTTGTTGTTTTTCTCCCCCCCCCCCCCCCCACTCCCTCCCCTTCACTTTCCGATGCTTCTGGAGAGCGCATTCAAAACAAGGGAGGTTTAGGCTTCGGGCCCAGATCGAGTTGCTCCGTTCCCAACATCTCTATTGCAAGCCACTTCTTTTTTTTTTGTGTGTGTGTCCCTCAACTTCCTATTGTGACAAAATGCTAATAAAGCACGTCAACACTGCCAACGGGCAAGCACTCATCTGAAAGTATTTGTCAGGCATAATGATGGCAAGCTCTCCTGAGTGCATGGGGATGCAGTTTCCACAGGCTGCCCTCCCCAGCCCTTGCTTCAAATTGTATTGATGTAGTTAATTACTGTTGAATAGCACTCTAGATTCCCATGGTTGTCAGTGTACCTCTGCCTGCCCTCCCCTAGGCTTTGTTCGACGGGATTAGTGATTGTCCCCAGGCTGAAGCTGGGGATAGGCTTTCATAACTGACTCATCATGGCCCTGTTTCTCAGCTGCTTTTTGTTTGATTTCACATGTCACAGTGAACCAAAAGATAAACCATCAATGAGCCACGTCTTTAGTTTCTCGGTCTCAGTCTTTTGCGCACACATACACACGCACACACACACATACACACACACACACACTCGCTCCCTCTCCTGCTATCCTCCCCCACCACCCTCTTACTGTGGCCCACTACTGTGAAAGAAAGATGTGATTGGCGAAGCTCTTTGAGGGATGCTAAACCCTGACTACTTTTTTTTTTTTGCTCGGTTGACCGAAGCACACTGTATCTGCTCCTCGCTCGCATAACCTATTTAAACCGCCTCGGAATCAAAAGCCCTGAATTTTCTCACATTGTTTTCCATGTGAAGATCGTTACGTCATCGAATGTGCGAATATGCACAGAACAGCTTACTTGCATAAAGTGTTGGCTTTCGCGTTTGTTTCCCATCCATTTATTTGCATAATCTAGCACCATTTGGGTCGTCTGATCTGAGCGGCAACAATCGAAATCCCTATTGATCTGACAGGCACCAGTTTTCTTCAGCTCAAAAGACCCCCAAAAAATGCAGAAATCAGACCAAACGGCAAGCAGAGCGTTTTGCTCACTGCCTTGTCACGTCTTGTGAAAGGCGCTTTACGAATGTAATTTTGCTGTTGTGGTTGCTCCTCCACCACTCCTCCAGCTCGAATATTAAACGCAGGCGTAGGGGAAAAAGTTAACTCTTTCACGTTTCGTTTCGCACTAAAAAAAGGAAGCTTCCAGAAAATCCGGCTCCAAAATGAAGGTTACGTTCAAGGAATTGGCTAAAATTATTCTGTTTGCGTTCGCCTACAATTTACGCAGTCACTCCACTTTACAGTATATCCTGTGAAGTGCTTTGAGACATCCTCCCGACATGAAACACGCTGAGTCAAACGTAGGGCTTATTATTATTCCACGCAATTTCGAACCCGTTAAGAAACACCCCAGTATTTGCTCACGAGCACCACTCTTCCGCCCTCTTATCACAGATGAAAATTCCTGTTCACTGAATGCATTCTTCGGGTCCAGGCGACATATCTGACTGCGTTAGACTGAGAGCGACGTGCTCCGTATTGTGTTACATCCTGGCAGAATTAAAGCTTCTCTTTCCATCAAATGCACCACGATACATAAGAAGCCTTAAAATAATTGAAATTCTACAATTCGACTCAAGGCTACATGACCTCATGCTCGGCTCTGCCAAAATAAAAACCTGTCGCAGACAGTGAAAGAAAAACTAGCTCCTAAACATCTCCCCAAACGTCCAGTCGCTTGCTCAAGATTTCTCACAGTAGCACTTCACTTTTCCCGTGAAATCGACACGTGTGAAATCAACACACGTGAAATTCAACACGTGAAAATCGACACCTGAAATTGACGCTCTGTAGAGCGTTCTGCTTTCAGAAACCCAACCGGGTACGTGATCTTTAGCAGGAAATAATACAAGGATCAACTGGGACTGGATCACAAGAAACGCGTCAAAATGTGTGCATTTGTTTTTGTTTGCGCTCCGAGACACTATGCTGCGTGAAAGGCGCTATATAAATGCAAATTCTTGTCATCATTGTGTTGTTGTTCTTGGTTTGTTCAGTGATAATAGCAGATGCAACGGTCCCCAATTCCACCGCGATCTTTTCGCCCACAAAATACACAGTCATGCCACTTTGCAGTATATCCTGCAAAGTTCCTTTAGGCGTTTCCACAATGTGACAGGAGACTATATTAGATGCAAGGATTTTTATTATCATCATCTTAAATTTGAAGGCAAAACAGGCTCTTAGAGGCGGAGTAGGTGCAATTTAGCGCTGGTGCATAGGGTGTATTGTACAAGTGACAAGAACCACAGAATATTTCTTCATTAGCAAGACTGCGAGCACCACACACACACACACACACAGATATTCACGCACGGACAAATATAATCTTGCTTGTTTGCATTCCACAACAGTTTTCCAAGTGTTAAAACGCATAACTGTTTCTTCAAAGCTCATGCAATGAGCTGCATCAGAAGTGGGTACATCTTTGCTGTGATTTTTGCATTTTGTCCCTTAACTGGGGAAATCGGGAGAGAGAGAGAGAGAGAAAGGGAGGGGGGTGGGGGCAGGCTGAGGGGGACGGGAAGAATGAAAGTGTAATGAAATCTTTTGTGAATATATTGGAACTTGTAGAATGAATTAAACAGCCCACAGTCTAAATAATACACACATAATGGAGGCTACATCAGTGCCGGGCGCATAATGAAAGTGACTTTGTTTTTTTTTGTTTGAGAAAAACTTCCCAACAAATTTTATTTGACAGCTGTACAGCCGAACGAATTGAATAAGTCGCAGCTGATAGAGGGCCTGAAAAATATGATTTGGATTCTAATTCCTGTCATACGCCAGACAAAGTTATTATCCAGCACAAAGAGAAGTAGCCAAGGGTGTGCAAATCCCCCAACAAGATTCATCTAATTAATTCAGGAGAAAATTAATTACCACGGGATTTTCAAACCAGAGAAGATTAAATGACTGCCTGTCCTTCCTCTCTCTCTCC